TACACAGTTCCTGGAAGCTGAAAACATCCCAGTTCTTGCATGGCCAGGATACTCACAGGACATGTCACCCATTGAGCATGTTTGGGATGCTCTGGATCGGCGTATACGACAGTGTGTTCCAGGTCCTGCCAATATCCAGCATCTTCGCACAGCCATTGAAGAGGAGTGGACCAACATTCCACAGGCCACAACCTTTTGGGGGGGCCCTGACCCTTTAGTTAGTGTGTAATGTTGCTGTTAGCATAAACAACATCTGCAAAGTTACAACGCTCAAAGTTCAAAGAAAAGGGAGATATTTTCTGTTACAGAAATTGCTTTTAAGGACTACAACAAACGGCTGATAGGGACTACAATTCGCTTCTTCATGGGTTAGTGATATCACTAACCCTAAAATTGACATAAACCCCGCCCCCGGAAACGAGATTAATATTTATTTATTTCAGTGTGTGTCTGTGTGAGGTAATTGGAGCTGCTAACACATGAGCTCTTGAATCTCCGCCTGCAGCTTATTTGCATTTAAAGGGACACAAATACACTTATGCACACCCTCTACAAGGTGACTACTTTGAGCTAAAACTTTACATAAACACTCTGGGGACATCAGAGACTTATTTTACATCTTGTGAAAGGGGCATTATAGAACCCCTTTAAGCATTGGTTATTTCTTTATAGTGTAGTCCTAAGTAAACTATGTTACATTAACCCGTAAACAGTGTGAACAAATTAAATGTAACATGAAATTACTTTGAACAAAAAAAACAAAAAAAAAACAGACTGATTAATGTCCAATGTGGTTGCTGGGAGAGATGTGTAGTGGGAGCCTTCATAAAGGTCTTAATAGATGGACAGTTTATTCTCAGGGTAAAAAAAAATAAACATACATCCCCATGACCCCACATCCCTCTACCACTTTTAACCAAACCTCCTCCTCCCCAGTGAGAGTGATCAGTACATCTGGGATGGAGTATTCTCTATCTCTCTTTTTGACTAAATTAAATAAGTTCTGGAAAGAATGAACTGAAAGATCTATACTGAAGGTTGAAGGAAGGAGGCTGGGGGAAGGGAGGTTTTATTATCCAGTATACACAACAGGGACAATCCCCCTTGAGCAACCTAAGGTTAAATGTATTGCTCAAGGGACATTAATGGTAGATGAGCTCAGAGTGTCAGATTAATGGATCCTTTCAAATAAACTCAGCAAAAAAGCATCTCTTTGTCTGGATACTGTATTTTAAATATAATTTTGTAAATATAAAATCCAAATAAGCTTTACAACGTATTACTGGAAAGGGTTTAAAAACAATGTTTTTCATGCTTGTTCAGTGAACCATAAACAATTATTGCACATGCACCTGTGGACCAGTCCATAAGACACTAACAGCTTACAGGCGGTAGACAAAAATAACGACTTTATTCAACTATTCATTTCCTTCTCTGTGGGCCTCGAGTTAGTTTACGTAGTTTAACTGTGCAGCGCTTCTGTGTTGTACGTCACACGTAGGCTCACTATTGGCCAATGCTGGTCATGTGTGTGATGCGTGTGACGTACAACACAGAAGTGCTGCGCAGTTAAACTACATGAACTAATTTGTGAACTAACAAACTAACTCCCTTAGAAGCCTATGGAGGAGTGATCCAGCTCTCAGATTTAATCAAAAATATCCTAATTTGTGTTCTGAAGATGAACTAAAGTCTTACGGGGTTGGAAAAACATGAGGGTGAGTAATTACTGACAGAATTTTCATTTTTGGGTGAACTATCCCTTTAAGGTCACAGTTACAATAATTTAGGACACTAAACAGACTGACTCCCTGCTTACCTGTGTGAACATGCCATAGATTGCAAATGTGGCCAGAGCAATAAACAGCAATGTTTGAAATGTAAAGATGCTATAGGGTGGTGTGGTCCCCCTGGGCAGAAATCACAGACCAAGGGGTTAATGGATGCCAGAATGAAATTGTATTTAAAACATAAGTTCTTCTTTGGCGAAATTACATTTCTTTAATAGCCTAAACCAGGGGTCGGCAACCTATATGGCACACATAGGGGTAATTGCTAGCATGTGAGCAAAAACAAGAGATGTGTAGGTATGTGTTTAATTATTTTTAATGTGTTTAATTGTGTTTAATTATTTTAATTTTTAATAATTAGAGTCGGCGGGCGGGCTTAACATAATGACGACAGAGTTGCGACGGTTCCCTACTTAAAAACAAAGAATGGCTGCTGCTGCTGGTGAACAGCGGCCTTTCAAATCGGCTTTGGACGCGACTCTGGAGGACTTGGAGTTAAGCTTTTCTTTGAGAAAAGAGCAAAGAACGGCACTTAAGTCATTCTTAAAAAAGGAAGATGTGTTCGTAGTTTTGCCGACCAGATATGGCAAAAGTTTAATCTATCAACTAGCTCTGCTGGTGGGAAAACACTCTGGTTGGTTGTAGCGCTATCCTATTGCGTGCAGAGGGAATTTGAAAGACAACCGTTTATCCTGCCCCTCGGATTGAGCTCTGCCAATGGTGAGTTCCCAGACCCAACATCTTGATGTGGGTCTGGCTTGCCAGGCTAAAAGCGCGCAGCTCTGAAAGCATGAACGCTGTGCATCACACGCACACAAAAGTTCTGACTGACAGCTTACAGCTTGTTCCGCTATTTGTTGCACTTAGCTTTGAGAAAAACAAAACAAAGTTAATGGTATACATTTCAGAGATACAGTATAAAGTATGTAAAGTCCCATTGAAATTCCACACACAATGACGGTGATGCATGTGCAAACTCCATTCATGCTGGTCGCTTCATGTGTTTCAAGTAGCTCAGTATCTCTTCAGCAAGCTGATGCGCAAACTGCCGCAAATGAAACTTAAATGTTCAGTGTCGCATCCTGAACCTTAACACACAGTTGTCTTCATTAAAAATAGTGAAACTAAATTATATTACCAGTGCTGATGCTGCTCTCTCTCCCATTGCGGTCTTTGATCTTGAAATTAGCTGAGGATGAATAAAATGAACCCCATTCCATAGCTTTTGTTGACATGAGCTCAGTTGAATGAGTATGTTTATCAAACTGCTAATAATGCTGTTAATGTTACACAAACCATGTTTCCGTTTGTCATCTCAGACAGACAGCTGCCTTCTAACTATCATCAGACATGCTTTGGACAACATAGAACGTCAGTGGAGAAAGGCATGTAATGTATCATAACATTGTAATATACATCATACCCGCTATATTTCTAAATCTACATGATTTTTCATATTTTTCAATTTGCACATAGTTTTTCTTAAAGCATATTAAAATCACCACATTAACATTAACACATTAACACAAACACCAACATTAAAAACTTTATTTTCACCACAGACTTTAAGCTTGTGTAAGCAATCTTATGTAGGTTCTTTTGTGTTTTATATAATGACCACTAGGAGGTGCTCTAGGCATATGTTTTCTTTGATTGTTATTCTCTGAAGAGATGTACATTGTTGTTGAAAACAAAAAAGAGTGACACACGTTTGTCGCTTTTTACCATGAAATGAGAGTTCAGTGTCTTTATTAAAATCAACACATTAAGGATTTATCTCTCATTCACCATGACCCACCAGCAATTTTTGGAATGTTATTACTTTACCTGCAGCGTCCATGTATATAACCATGATCCACGCATCACTAGTTTTTGTTTACTTAAGATATAACTGACTGTGTTTACTAGGATATTTGCCAAGGCTGGCATTTTGACACAATTCCATATGCATTTGTCCATTCAAGGACAAAAAGAAGTGAAAAAGATCTTACTCTCTGTGCGCGCTACAGATGTGTGTGCACAGAAAACTTCACTCAGTGCACGATTACAGAAATGCGTCTTTTTTTTTGCTCAAGTGTTGCATTGATACATCATGTTGTTAGTCATTTGACCGATGTATCAATCCATATCTATATATTGTAACACCCCTAATTAGGAAATTGTCATTTGTTTGATGACTGAGATTTAAGTTTTGCAAAGCTTCAGCATAGTAGCTGAAGAAGGGGGATGAGGGGAATGTGTCTACAAAGAGCAAGAAATGGTGGTGTGTTGCTGTGAAAGCTGATGGGGAAATTGGATTAATAACACTGGGTTATGGTCTTGGCAGGAGCTGAAGGATAGAAGCGTGTGCTGGGACAGATTGAAATTTGGGGGTGGGGTGTATGGAACGAGAAAAAAAAAACAGTAGTTATGCGGCAGAAGGATTTTTTTTTTTTTTTTTTTGGCAGGCACATCAGCATGGAGAAAACCACCGAGACATAAAATGAGAAAAATAATGAAAACTTGACCCCTAATCTGACCATTCTCATTAACTTTAGACTAGGTATCTCATGCTACAAAGCTAGCAGGCATCACCAACATGTTCAGGGGTTGGTAAAGCTAAAACACCACATAAAACTCTACTGCACTAACAAAACCAAACAATTTTATGCAACGGGTTCACAATGTACCCACAGAATTGCTCCTTCCTTAGAAATGGGAGCCATTAACTTAGCATAAACCTAAGGGACCATTTGCAGCATGTCCTTTTAATCTCTAAATTGGCACATATATTGGCAATAACATATCAAATGGGGGTGGGGGAAAGTGGGGACACTGAACCTCTCAGGTTTTTTTTTTTATCATACCAGCAAAACTAGATATGAGATTCAACGTCTTGTCACTAATAACACAATATTCGCAACAAGAGTGAAATTAAAGTGACTATGCACCGTGTACAGTAGGACAGCATCTTGAACACAACAATCTGGACAAACATACAAGCAGGACAAGACTTCACAAAATAGACTTTACTAAGACAGTTTTAACATGTACTGAGTGTCTGAAAACACACCACAGGTAAAGGAAGGCTGAAACAGCAAGGGTGAAACAAAACATTAAGCATGTCTGAATAAACAGGCTGTTGTCTGGTAGCACTCACAATCAGTTTTGAAAGGTGACCCCAGTTTGTGTGTATGTATTGGAGTGAGTCCGCGCAGTATGCAGCCTTACCTTATCCCTCCTAGCTGCTCTCAATGGAAAGAAACAAGAGAAGAGGAACTTCCCCCAGCTTATCACTGCTGCCAGACACCAGTTCAGCCGGGCCATGGTTGCCTCCTTCTGTCAGTATTTTGCTGCCTTTAAATCACCCTTTCTATTCTCTGTGTATTCTCCAGGTATATCCAATAGCAGAGAACTGATGGGAGAACAGATCCCTTTAGCTGCAGAGCAGGTAGCAAAAATTACCCGACTCTTGCTCACACACACGCTACCTTACTCAGTGGATGCTGCAGCATTCTGTCTGTCGAAGGAGGATGAAGAGGAAAGAGGGAGGGTGTGAGAGAAAAAAGCAGAGAGAGTGAGGGAGAGAGAGAGGGACATGCAGTGGGAAAAACTAGAAATAGCAGAAAGGCAAGTTGCTTTTGATGAGGAGGAGGTAGAAAATGAGAAAAATGTTTGAGAAGAAACTGAATGTGTGCGAGAGAGGAATGGGCTTTAGAAGGAGAAAACATTTCCGTGATTAACAGGAAAAAAAGAGCATAATCTTGAGAAAATAAACGCAAATAAGAGGCAGGATAAGATACAGAAAGGATGGAGTGAAAGAGAGAGAGAACACAAGAGGGAGACTGAGTGAGGAAGGCAGAAATAAACTGAATTGCAGTCTCTGAATGTCATCACACTGCCGCACACGCACAGACACATGCACGCACTCTCACACGAGGCTATATGAAGAAGGGGGGACAAACAACGTGCCGTGTGCAACTGGGTTTCTGTGGAAGCCTTTCTGTGTTTTCTTTTGACTCCATATGTGTGCCTGTGTGAATGCATGTGGGAGCTCTGTGTAAAAGCTCTCTGGTGTCAAGTGCTCATCCAACTGCAGGTGCACCGCACCACTGCAGAGTCGCCACGCTTCACTAACAAACGTACCCTCACACTGCATAGAGGGGGGTGGGGGTGGGATTAATAGAGAGCAAGCAGAGACCGAGAGAACAAGAGATGCCAAAAATTGTAGAGAGGAAAAAGCAGAAATGGGGGAAGAGATACAGATACATGTTCATACATACATGCATACTCACTCTATTTTTCCCCCCATGTTTTTTTGTTACTAATTCCTATTGCATATATTCTCTCCCAAAAGACAAATTCTGGCACTACTGAACACCATAGCATCAAAACGTAAGAAAATGTATGCGAGTGAGTGCTGCTGATGCTTTTTTAACACAGCTGCAGGGTCTATTTTAACCAAGCAAATCCATCATTAAAAAACAACAGACTCCCATAATCACTCTGCCGCCATATTGACTGTGCTGTCATATTCAGTTTGAATGTTGAGTGTTTTTTTTTTTTTTTTAAATGAACAGACCTTGTGCCAGATCTGAGAAACATGAATCTCCCAGCTCCCTTGCTAATAAAGCTCCCTGTTACCATAGTCTACATGACATATACCACAAATTTGCATTGCAGATCTGAATGGATCTTATTCAATTTGTTATAGATTTATTTGGGGGCTTGATAAATGTTCTTCATCAAATGGATGAGGATTACTGAAACAAAAGTTTGGGAGAAGCATGCTCATCTTATGGTGCCAATCACAACACATTAGTAGGCATATATTACACAGTGACCTCTCACGCTACTTTTTGCGTTGCAGTCATATTCCCTTCCCACATGACACAACTAAGATTATCACTGAGCTCAAGGGAAGCATGAGACGTGTCACTTAAGAAAAAAATAGTTTTTATACACTACTTCATCTACTAATTTGAGTAATTCAGTTTGATTTATTTTTGACCTACTGATTTTGTTTTATCAGACACTGCCTCCCTTGCCTCCTCTGAGAAAATGTCCCTGCTTTATAAATTATACATGGTCTGCAATGAGTGTGTAACTGCACATTGCAACCTATGATTTCTGTCCAGCTTATTTTTTTTCTATATAGGTAAAATCTACACAAGATTTGAGAAATACCTTTTTCCGTCTGCATACTGTCAGGGTTCTGTCACCTCGGTCTAGGGTGTTTCTTGGTTTTGTGACAGAGCCCTGACACTCCTGTATTCTCCTGTCTTTGTCTGTGTGTCTTGTTGTGTTTCTGTCTTGTGCTGTGTCACACGCAGCTAGTGTTTCTCACTGGCTGCGTGCGTTCATGTTATCTTGTTCTGTGTGAACACACGGCTTATGAGTGTCTCTCATTAGCTGTCTTGTTGTGTATAAGCTCATGGCTAGCGATTGGTTATTGTTGGTCATGTGCTTGTGTGTGATTTCATGTTTGATGTGAGCACATGGCTTGTCTCGTTATACTTCCCTGTGCCATGTGCTCTTTTGTCTATTGTCTGACCCCTTCACATCTTGTTATCTGATTTTTGGTTCAGTTTCCCCACCTGTACTCCCTCGTTACCTGCCTTGTTTGCTGTCCTATTTATTCCCCTTGTGTTTGCTGTCCTGTGCCAGATTGTTGTCGCACATCGATGCACGTTGTTGTTACCCTGCCTGTCTGATGATTCCTGTGGTGTGTTTTTCCTGCCTAGTCAAGTCTAGTCTGTAGTGTTTTCCCCCACGGGGTAGTTTCTGTTTGTGTTTTGTTTTATTTTAATAAAGCCCATATTCCTCTGCACCCCACCCCAACCCGTGACACATACAAATAAGGTGACAGAACATGAAAAGTCAACATTTATCCTGAAGACCTTGCCACAGAACTGGTCCTTTCTCTGAGTGTAAATTGTTTTACATTACCCCCATACCCCAATAAGTGTGGTTCCCTTTCGTATGGGAACTCCTACGTCTCGTCGGAGGAGTTTCCAACGAATTGGGATCACGCTAGGGAGATCAATTGCCTTCGAGTGAATTAAAACGAGCCAATAAATATTGGCATGCGGGATTTGCATTCCGCGTCCCGCCTATCAATGCGGGTATAAAAGCGGAAGCGAACGCACATACCATTGATTTTAGCTTCGGAGCCGAACTAAGTGTCCTCTGAGTGATGAGCTTCAAGATTACATTTTTCTTCACGCTCAACGAGTCTGCTGTTTCCTTGAAGACCTCTCTGTGTTTGTGTGACTCAGCTGTTGCTGCACGCGATCTGCCTTTTTTAAAAGAGCTGTTGTCACAGCTGGTAATCGGTTGAGTGCATGCAGCGGGCTTGCAGTTTCCCCGCTGTGTTGCCGCGTTTGATCCGTGTGTGCTTCAGCACAATAAAGAGAGCGTTTTTTTCTTTGAAAGAGCAACACGAGTGAAGTTCGCGTCCTTTTCAGGATGACGTTTCACCCGTGTGTTTCTGGATGCGGTCAACTTCTGCCTCCGGCTGATGGTCACGATCGCTGTCTCACGTGCTTGGGCCTCGCGCACGCTGAGGCAGCGCTCGTGGATGAGTCATGTTCTCACTGCGGGAACATGACCGTCGCGGTGTTGAGACTAAGACTGCGATCCCTCACCAGAGGGGGAGTCCCTTTGGAGATTCCCCGATCTAGTTCTTCTTCTGGTTCACTCCAGAGGAAGGCTACTTCGGCTAATCCCACTGGTGGTCTGAGGGTTACAGTGCGGAATGATCTGCCGGGTGAAAGACCCCCTCGGACATCCCACTCCTCTTCCGCCGTACCACTGGGGTCTTCGGAGGAGCGCGCTGGGTCATCACGTGTGGCTCCGGTCATTTCCTTCGGGGCCCCTCCGCAGGACCAGATGTCGATCGCGGCATCGGAGGGAGATGAGTCTGGGAATGACGACTCGGCTGCGTTGCCCCCTTCGGGTGTGGTAACGTTGTCCGACCCGGACCCGGAGATGACGCTTATGCTCGCCCGGGCGGCCGAGAGGGTCGGGCTCGTGTGGAACCCTCCACCGCGTCCCGAGCCTTCCCGGCTCGACGATTGGTTTCTTGGAGCGGCCCGTGCTGGTCCTCAGCGCCCCGATCCGGTGCCTTTCTTCCCGAAGGTGCATGAGGAGGTGACGAAGTCTTGGTCGAACCCCCTGGCGGCTAGACTGAGATTGACTCCCTCCTCCTCCCTCACCACCCTCGATGGCGGGGCAGCTTTGGGATACGAAGGCATCTCCCCAGTGGAGCGCGCAGTGGCGATGCAGCTGTGTCCCACCTCCGCTTCCTCCTGGCGGGGTAACCCTTCGCTCCCCTCCCGCACTTGTAGGTTCTCTTCCAGTCTGACTGGAAAGGCCTACACTGCGAGTGGAGAGGCTGCCTCTGCCCTGCATGCCATGGCGCTCCTGCAGGTCTACCAGGCCCGGGCGCTCTGTGACATGCAGGAGGGTGGTACTGACCCAGGGGTGCTTCAAGAGCTGTGCACGGCGACGGACCTTGCCCTACGGGCGACGAAAGTCACCGCGCGTTCCCTGGGTCAGGCGATGTCCACTCTCGTGGTCCAGGAGCGACATCTCTGGCTTACCCTGTTGGATATGAAGGACTCGGACAAGAACAAGTTCCTTGCTTCTCCCATATCCCAGGGTGGCCTCTTCGGCGATGTGGTGGAGAACTTTGCCCAACAGTTTTCCGCTGCCCAGAAGCAGTCGGAGGTTATAAAGCACATCATGCCTCGGAAGCGGGCTATGGCTGCCCCGCCCCCGTCGGTCGCGCCTCCGGCTGCTCGTCGCCGAGGGCGCCCTCCTGCCGCCGCCTCCGCCCCTGCTCAGCCCAAGCAGCAGCCAGCTAAGCGACAGGGTGCCGGCTGCAAGAAGGATGCCCACCCCGCTCAGGCCTTGACAAAACCCCCCGCAAGAGGAGAGGTAAGCGACCCTGAGACGGGCCACCCAGAGGATGCGGTTTCTGCTCATCAGGAGGGTGCCTCTGCACCTCTCCTTCCCCCGGAGGAGGGCCGGGTGGAGAATCTTCTTTTTCCTTTTGTTTCTGTACCCAAATTCTCAATAAAAGAGCAGTTTCCGTTTCCTCTGGGTCTCCCACGGTCGAGACTGGCAGTCAAGAACGACGCTCAATTGTCTCGTCACTCTCAGTCTCCTCCGTCCAAGAGGGCCAGAATGACAGTGTGCGCCGCCACGTTGCCTCGCCGCTCTCATTTCCCTCGCCCCAGCGCTCAGATGCCAGTGATGCCGCCTCGGCCTCGTCACTCTCGTCTGTCGTTGGGCAAGGAAGTGCGGAACCTAGGACTCGACGCCCCCCAGCCTCGCTCCTCGTTTCCCCTCTGACCTTCGCCTCGGGACAGTCAGCAGTCGAACGCCCCAGAGAAAGATGGGCCTTCCCTGCTGCTTGCCCCCCGGTGGAGGCAGGTAAGTGTTGCACCACACACACAGACCCCACCTTCGGCCGCAGCAATGCCTCCGAGGGCGGGTCCCTGCCTTCCACCTCGCTGCCCCTCCGCGGGTACGCCGGTGGTCCGAGTGGGCTCGTTGGTTCAGTCTCTCGAAGCCTGGCTAGCGCTACCGAGACCATCCAGGTGGCTCGTTCGCACCATCCGGTTCGGCTATGCAATTCAGTTTGCCCGCCGGCCTCCCAGGTACAGGGGTGTCCTCTTCACCCAAGTGCGGAGTGGCGACGCGCCTGTCCTGAGGAAAGAGATCGTTGCCCTGCTGGC